CAATCAATTATATCGATTATCCCAAATAACCGATGCTAATACTCATTTTTATTATTCAAAAATTTTAAAAAGCAAAAGACAATGGCATCGGTTATAGGTAATAATCGATGCCTTTCAGGGTTTGAATCTGTTATTTGTTCAAATTGATATGAATACTTCTTTTAATTTTCTCTCTCTCTCTCTCTCTCCCCCCCCCCCCTCTTCATCAATTTCCTTCGTTAATTTTAAGCCAAGGTTTTAGGGCCGTTGTCTCTTGCCTATGTCGCCTCCCAACCCGACTACCTTAGTGTGAATGATTCCGACGTGCGTCATTGCCTCACCTCCGAACAGTAAGTATGGAGTGGTGAGAATGGTGTTCGCACAGTGCAATTGGGATCGGGAGGAAGAACTATATCGGATCATAAACACGTACACAAGAATATAAAACAATCTGAATAACCGAAACAAAAATATAATTTGACGTATTGGAACCAATTATAATACTAAAACCTGAGTAAATACAAATACCAAACTAAAATCTCAGATTAAATAAGGGAAAGACCAAATAGCAAACTTATTAGATAAATGCCTAAATGGGGTCTATTTATAATTTGTAAAAGTTTATTTTGATTAAAAATACTGGATCGGATAGAAAGGGGGGACGGAAGAACGGAGGCATGAAACTTGGATCAGGAGTTGATACGGCAGAAGGAGGGAGGATCGGGAAAGGCTGGACTATCGAGGACAAGACACAAGGATCGAGATAGGACAAATAATTGGAGACGGAAGGCTGAGGACGATGAACCCTAGTCTCTGCTCAGCTCCCAATCGACGAACAAGAGGAACTAGACGCAGTTTTAGGTGTTGGTTGTCATCATTGACCATCTGCATCGAACAGCAAGGTCTGAATCCAACCTTCGCCGGACAAAAATTGACGGCGGCCAAGGAGACTTCACAACAATGCCCTTCTCTCGATTTTGGTTCCAATTTCTTGACTTTTTTGTGTTTAGTCTTTAAATATAAGTTTTATCTCTATTTTCTTTAGATTTGTTTACTATACTTTTGTATTCACTTATTAAAATACTTTTCTTTAATATATGTGTTCTTTTTTTATGGTTGTGTTTCTTGACATCATAAGTGGCTAGGTATTTAGATTTAGGTGTTTGATTGTTTAAGTGTTTGATGATTATTATGCTTTAATTCTTCATTTGGAGGATAATTTGTGGATTAATCCTAAGTAGTTTGTGATAGAAGATTATTTTGCCTACTTGTTTGTATGCACCAAACATTGTGTGGTCATGGTATTGAGTTTTGAATTCGCCAAGGAATTAGGTTTTAGAATTCTAGTATTAGTTCGTCACTCTCAAATTCTTTCCATAGAAGTGGTTATGAATTTGAGGGGTATCATTTTATTCGGGTATTGTCTTGGTTGAACTACCAAGGAATTGAAGATCAACTTAGATGATTTAGTTCTTTTACCATGGAAATGGAAAAGAATTCTTTGTCAGACTCACTACTCGGTTTGATTCCCCAAATGATCCCCCCTTTTTTTAGGCATATCATCAAACACTTGTCATCCAACATCTAAATCACTTTCTTAATTATTGAATTTTCAATCTCTCGTTATTTCTTTTGTGCTTGTGACCTTCTTTAAATCTATTTTCTAGGCTTAGATTCACTTTATAAGTAGTTTAATTAGTGCTTGATTGACTAAGTACTTGATTCCTTTTATAATTATCCTCTTCGGGAACAACAAAAATACTTGCGCTTTTACCACATAAAAACACATCAAAAAGTCCTCAAATCACTCGTTACCACACTAGAGTAGCCTCCTCTACCTCCGGCCCAACCCTCACCGCACCTCTTCTTATTATTACTAGCCGTCATTTTTGCCTCTACTTCTTCCACGACAAAGATGTTGCACCAGATTATCGCCAAGGATGCCGACCATTCCACCGACGGCATAGCCAGCAGGGGTGAAGAACTTCCCCAGTGACCAGCCTAAAACATTTCTTTGTTACTTTTTTACTTAATGCCTTAAATTTTAATTTTAGTTACTTTTTATTCTTGTCAATTAGTAGTATATAATTCTTTTTTAAAATGTGTTCTTATATTTTTTGCATATCTTTCTTATTCTTCTTGTTACTTTTGTTATTATTTTGTGGTTATTATTTGTTAATGTTGTTGTATATTGATTGTTTGGTTCAAGAGGTCACCTGAGAAGCTGTTTGTGCTTTTTGACATGTATAATTATGCGAGGGATTTTATTGTCACGTCTCTATCACTCATATTTCTTCCCTTTATTTGTTTCTCTTCTATTCATCCCTTCTCAATATGAAATGTTATAGTGGCCTTCCAAATAAAAAATATAATGAAGGGAAAGCTCATTCTCTCATCTTCTTTAGACACCCTATAAATAAGGTAGAGATATGGTTTACTTGGGAAAGTCCAATGGGCTTAAAGTGCACGTATTTCAACATAAAGATCATAATACATATTTTATCGAAATGATAACGCACAATTTGTAGTTTTCTTTAACACTTCCCCTTGTGCTAAGTTGTAGATAGAATGGTAGATGTCTTGTTGCCTCGTCATAACCTCTTCAAGTGACAAAACCTCTTGAGAAAAATAACCTCTAGTAAATAGAAAAAAGTATAACTTGTTGTAGATTATGGAAGACTTCCTCTATTGATTGTTAACTTCTGTTTGCTCCATACATTGATTAATAATATTTAAATAAATCATTGTGTAGCTAAAGTCCTTTTTGTCAAGCAACAAAAACTCAATGGAAAAATAAATCTTGGCTTAAAAGAGTATTGTAATTATCAATAGGGTTACACACATATATTTTTTTTTTAAATTCAAGTGTCAATTACCTTTGAGAGTATAGTGCATTCAATGTTGTCTCATTAAAAACCATACCAAGTAACAAAACCCAATGTAAAAAAAAAACTTGGTTTAAGAGAAAAAGAGTACAACATAATGAAATCATACATCAGTTACCTTTGATGATGACATTAAATAAAAATTTTCAAACTAATATTGTTCTTTGTATTAAATATAGTAGAAGAAATGATGCATATCATATTGACTCATTAAAATCTTTTCAAGTAACAAAACCCAACGGGGAAAATAAAACTTAGTCGTAGGAAAAAGAGCACAATGCAATAACATTGTTGATGATAATTATCAAGACTCTTTCTAAAGTAGTGTATACTTTGCACTGATTTGTTCTTATACGAATGACACTCATACGATGTTACGTTCATGATATCATAATGTATCCCATGGAATATGCATTACTAATTGGGATCTTTGTTTATGAGGGTCAATGTGTCTTCTGCCTTAGCAAAACCATCAAACAAGTTACTTTATATTTAAGGATTGCTCACACATATTTTCATTGGGAACAATATTATCATCAATTTCTAAGTTTAACTCAAGAGTGAATAATACCAACGTCAACGATTCCAACACAATCATCAAAATGCATTCTTGATAAAGATTGAATAACTATGCATTTTAATGGTCCTGATATAATTCAAGCTAACAAGTTCAAAGAGAATACGTTATTAATTCAAGTACAATAATACGCTTTTGCACTCGTGTAGAAAATTTCTTATCCCAACAATTCTTCAATTTATTCTTTTGAATGAATGCATCATTTTTTGTATCCATAGTTCAAATCAATCATGAGAGTGCTAATAGGTTGCATTAATTATGTTATTTGCCCGAAAATACTTGAGTATATGCAACTTGGGTGATTCAATGTTTCACCAACTCTTTACGGCAATTGAGATGCTCTAACATTAATCTCGATCACAAAATTATACGATACAATTGAATGTAATGTACATTATGATAACGTTATAACTAAACATCTTTCGTAATACTCTCTCTGTCCCAAATTATAATGCATGTTCACTATTCACAGGGTCAAACTTTATTCACTTTCTTTCTCTATTTTCGTTAGCAAATTGATAAAATAAAATATTGTTGTCACTACTAGTTTTGTAGATCTTTTGATGTAGTATTTTGATATGTAATTTTTATTTTTTAATTTTATACCATTTGTCATATAAAATGATTTGAAAATAACTTCAGTCAAACATCGTAAAACGAAACAAGCGTTATAAAATGGGAGGAGTAATTACTAGTCTGTATCTTATTTTGGATTGAACAGTATCTTATTCAGAATAAACTCAAACGCTAACACTGTGTTTGTTTGGAGGTAGGGGGAGGTATAGGGAGGTAGAATTATTATTCTACCTTGTTTGGTAACAAAATTGAGATAGGTCATTAGAGGTAATTGGAGGTAGAGGGAGGTAGAGTTACCTCTCAACAGTACACTTTTGGGAGACCGCCGATTTGGCGAAACATCGCGGTAATAAACTATTTTCCGCTGCAACCCTCTCCTTCGTTCGCAGAGCAGAAAACAAGTCTTCATCTTCAAAGTTCCTATCGCATCGTCATCCAATCGCAGGTAATTTCCGATCTTCCCCTTCCCCTCTGTTTTCGATTGTTACTTCAATTAGCCATCCCCTCTGTTTCGATTACTTCTGCTCCCATTTTGTTTTGCGTCACCCCTTTTTTGCGGCACCCATAGTCATCCAATCGCAGGTAATTAGGGATTGGGTTTGTTCTTGCTGCACCCATTTTTTTACTCTATTTTTTCTGTGATTTTTTACTCGGCTCCCTTTTTTTTCTGTCTTGGGATTGGGTTTGATTGTTACGGCACCCATGAGTTTTACTCTGCTTTCAGTTTTTTCTGTTCTTGTTTTTGTGGTATTTTTGTTTTTTCTTTGTGCTTTTTTCTAGTTTTTTTTACAATTGTGCAATAAAGAAAAACAATCACAAGGATATTTTAGTAATTTTATTCTTTTCCTACCTCATGTTACCTAATAAACATCCAAACACAATTTTGTAACTCATTACCTTACTTTACCTACCTTCAATTACCTACCTAATAAAACTTTCACCTACCTCCAAACAAACATACCCTTAAGTTACTTAGAGATAGTCTCTCTCCTCAATCCTTTCCTTCTCTCCCCAATCCCTCATTAACCACGCACCCTCTTCCTTCCTGTCTACAATCTGCATCCACATCAGCGACCTCATCACCCACCGGAGATCAGCTCTCCGACGCGACGACCGGAGGCAGCTAGGGAGACACCGGGGATCTCAACGCGAAGGCATCACCTATCTGTCGCGCAGCGAGAAAAGTGTACATATTATCACACTAGTCAGCAGTATTTTCTAGGATTCGGGGCTGAGAAAAATCCACCATTTACCTAGAAGAGTGTGTGGGAGGCAAAAGGTGCGATCCAGGTGATATGATCACTCAATTTAATTTTCTCACGCTTCCTGCAATTTGCTCGAATCTTTTATCTGAATTGGAAGCCTACTTTGATATGGATATATAAGGAATTGTTGATGTGCTTGATGTTGTTAATCTGTCATGGTAGATGCTAATTCTATTTGTGTTCTCAGATGGCGAACGTATCTCAGATCCGCCCTAACAACTCAGCACTTATTGCAATGATTGCTGATGAGGTAAAAAGACCGTTACTTTCTGTATACTCTGCAAGTATTTAGTTTAAATAGATTAAGGGGCTGTTTGGCAACTTCTGAATGGGTAAGTGCTGAACCAGTAAGAGGTCTGAACCATTAAGTGCTGAAGCAGTAAGAGGTCTGAACCATTAAGAGCTAGTATATTGTTTTTGATAAGTCTCCATTTACAGACTAGTTAAGTCTATTCTCGAGAATTGGTAAGTCTGAGACATATTATGAATTGGTAAGTCTCGGTTTAGAGAATTGGTAAGTCTGTAGACTTGGTAATTCTCTGACTTTGTTTGTCAGACTTGGTAATTCACGACTTACATTCAGACATCTGAACCATTAAGAGGCTGAAACAAACAGCCCCTAAAATGGCCCTAAACTGGCAAGGAGCTTGGTTCCTTATGTAAGGTTTTAATCTTTTGGGTTTGAACCTCTAATGGAGCATGCTTTAGTAGAACTCCTATAGATCTCAAAATGTAGTCTACTGTCCCACTCTTGATTAATTGGTGGCTATCAACCAGTAATAGGGGTCAAGCAAATACTCCGTAATTAGGATTATAATATTCGTAAATCATTCTTTCTATGCTCCTCCCTTTGTCCTGCTATTTTTGGGACAACAGGAAAATGATAGTATGATACGCAAATTAAGCGGAATAGTGTGGTTGATATTAAAGTTAATGCATAAAAAGGTAAGAATAAATGTAAGTCACACAAATGTTACGAAGTACTAAATATCCACTCAATTTTTTGACACCGTCCTTGGTGTCGTATGATGGCACCGAACCATTTAGAATCCTACGGTGTCCTGTTGGGTCAGGCACCGTGTCCTACCCTACAAACCCCTTTTCCCCCACCTCTAGCCCCAGCTCCCCCTGCCTGATACTGTAGCAACTCTGCGTTAAGCAGGCACCGAGGTTGTGGGCCTTGGTGGGGATGGGGTGGGGGGGGGGGGGTTAGAGGTAACAGGACCTGGTCCTGGACTCAAAAAAGCACCGTAAGGCCCCAGTACCATATTATGACACCAAAGTTCAATGTCAAAAGAACCGTGGTGAAGGTAAAAAGGAACATAAATAGTGATACAGTGAGTGTAACTTATTAGAATACTTGGGTAGCATCATGGTTGTTGTACTGGCCACCAACTTTGGATTGTGTGCTTATTTTAACTGTAGTATTGGGAAACTCAAATGCCAGAAAGCATAGTACTCCCTTCGTCCCTAAAGTTCCCGCGACTGCTGAAAAAGCAAATGTTGTAAATATTTTGGGACGGAGGGAGTATAATGTTCTGGTGAATGCCTGACCGGTATTTGTACCCCTCATAAACTGTTCATTTTTTGTTTTTTAATCACATGACCTGCCTTTACTTGTTTTATATGCATTTTATCCTGTGAATTAAGTTTCAGCTTTACAAGACATGGTGCTTCGCCAGAATATCCAGAAATTAATTCAAAAATTTCTCAAACGTTAATTAGGTGTTACTTTTCATGGAGTTAGTCTAGCACGAATACCTTTGATTTCCGAGTGATATTGAAATAATTGACCAAGTCCCCATATTTGATTTTTCTGAAGAAAATGTGTTTCGTAACATTCATTTCATCCAAATAAGTTATTGAAAAGCTGTGTGTTCTGCCGAGAAGTAGAATAAAAAAGTAAGTTAGACAAGACTATCATATGGAACCTAATACTCTGTATGTGATTAATTTCATGATTAGCTGTTACAGGATATAGATCATAGTAGTAACTTCTATAGTTTTTGTTAGTAATTTAGAGATCAGATATTCAGATGTATTTTTGATGATATTAACACTTGTTCGATGAATGAACGAACTCAAGGAAGCACTCATGTCTTTGTTTTTTCTCATAATAATGAGTTTGTGCTCATGAAATATACTTATTTTGTCCTCATGAAATGTAGTTTTTTTGCCATCATGAAATGTACTTTTTATTGTCCCCATGAAATGTACTTTTTTAAATGTCCTCATGAAATGTATTTTCTTGGTCTTCATAAAATGTACTTTTGTTTAAGGTGATTTTTAAAAACTGATTTTGATAATACTAGTATTTATAAAAAGCAATTCACTATTATATAAACAAACTATTTAACATTTGCCAAAGCTTTATCGAAAATTATTTTAATTATTGGAGAAGTAAATGTAATGGTTTACAAATAAATGGGGAATATAATTTAATATCACGAGAAAGGAATAAAAAAGGAATTTTAATCATGATGCTTAGTTTGCTGGGTTTCAATTGTTAAGACTTCTTAATCCAGTATTTGTTCAACATTAGACATGAAAATGAATATCACCATGACCAAAATGCTCGTGCATCATGAATATAATAAAAAAAGTCTACTGCCCCATTCTTCTCAATCTAAATGAAATTTTAAATATTGTTGGGAAGTTGGGGATTTTGAATTCCTCAAAGATAAGCAATTGAAATTTGTTGGGATATAAACTCCCACCAACCGAGACATGATGTTTAGTAGGAAATGTATTTTTTTCCTTCCAGCGAGACATGTTAAGTGGAATATAAATTTCTTGGAATAAAAACTCAAAAATAATTTTTGGAAATGTATTTCTTTCCCTCCAGCAAGACATGATGTTAAGTGCTTTTGAAATATCCAAAAGTGGCGTGGTCAAAAAGGCAGGAAGGACCTTTACACTATGTTTGGTTCAAGGAATTTGGAAGGAAAAGAAAAGAAAATGGTTTTCTCACATTTTCCTCACCAAAATGGAAGGAATTTGGTTTTCCCTCCACTTGGTAGATTTTGCCTTCTCATTTTCTTTTCCTTCCACTTTTCCTTTCTTTTCCCCTCTAACCAAACAAGAAAAACAATTTTCCACTTCATTTTCTTTTCTTTTCTCTTTTAAATTCCTTGAACCAAACATAGTGTTAGTGCTTTTTTTGTAATACTACCTCCGTCCCAGTGTATTTGTTCAATTTGACTTTTTTGACTTTGTTGAGTAAAAAAAAATGAACCTTGGACCTCAATTTAATAAGAAATGGGATGTATATTATTATAAAAATGATTTCATGAGATTTATCTTATAGATAATTTTCAAAATTTTATTTAATTATATTAATATGCAATAGGAATTTAAAGTAATTGAAGATTAAAATTCATCTTGTTTTAACTCAAAAAATCAAATTGGAAAAAATCAAACCGGAGAAATATTTTCTCCTCATTTTGTTTTGGGGATTCGAGGTGATACTATTGGATGTATTAAATAAAAACATGTGGGTAAATTGAAACTACAATCCAAGTTTTGACAAATCTGTTCGTTCTAGAGAAATTAAAGAATTTTTTAAGCAGTTCCTTTTTAATGAAGCTTTCTTGTAATCTGGACAAACCTATAAAAATGTGATGTAATAATGCAATATTTGTCAAACATCCTCTAACCCTCTAACCTACACCTTTCCAAGATCCAACTTTGGCATTTTTTCCTTGCATATATATATAACACAACTACTTTGTGAATTGCCTGAAACATAATTTCACATGACTACAAACTTGCAGTTTGGCATGGCTTAATTAAGTGTAATTCCTGCATGTTACGTCAGTTTAAATAAAGATAATATTTAGTGTACGAAACTAATATAAAAATCACGTAAATCAGTACAGAATGGTTTGATGTGGTTCCACGTACTCAAACAAAGGTACACTATACTACACACAAAAAGCAAAAGATTCATGTATACTTATATCCTATGTTAATGACCTAAAAATAACCGACCTCAACCGTTACTGGACCTGAGGAGGAAAACAAACTACCTTATTGTGGATTCAAGTAAGTTTTAATTTTGAATTGATATTTAAGTGCCATAAACAAGACAATCTAATACACTTTGTTTCTCTAATACACTTTGTTTTCATGGGTATGTTTTAGAAACCACGGCGAAACAGATTGAAGATGCTTTCAAAGAGTTCACTACAAGAGAGGACATTGCGATTGTGTTAATTAGCCAATATGTAAGTATTCTTTTATTTTCTGAAAATTACTATTCCATTGTTGAACTTCTGTTCTTTACATGATCTGTGAACATATCAAGTACTCCGTATATAATAATATATGCCTGTTTTCTTGAGCTGATGGATTGATGCTTCTCCAATTGAAACAATGTTCAGGTTGCCAACATGATAAGATTTTTGGTGGATGGTTATAACAAGCCAATTCCGGCCATATTGGAGATTCCCTCAAAGGACCATCCCTATGATCCAGCTCACGATTCTATCCTTTCCCGAGTGAAGCACCTATTCTCCACTGAATCTGTGGCATCCGGAAGACGCTGAGATATAACTTGAACTGAAAGTCTGTCCTCTTTTTTCTTCTTCTTCTTTTGTTCTTTCCAAGCGTACTTTGTTGTGTCTACTTTGCCTGTTCTGTTTGGCATGCAAGTTTAATAATCCTTTCACTATTAATGGCGACACTTTTTTTGTTAAATAAATTGTCGACTAAACAAGCAGGCTTGGATTTTCATCAAAATGAACACACTCCAACATCTGAAGATGAATTCAGAGGCTGTGGGTAGATATTATTAATGTTGTAATTTACAGGTATGAGATATTATGCTTCTCCAATTGAATAAACGTTCAGGTCGCCAACTGGCATCCAGAGGTTGTGCACATATATTATTACTCCCTCCTCCCGATGAGTTTGTTCACTTTTTCTTTTTGGACGGTCCTGGCTTGAATTCCGTGCACCAAACGGAGCCTTAGGGTATTCTAGGAAGGGGAATTTAGTCTATGATGCACATTACTTGTAGGTTACCCCCAAGTTGTGTTCTTCATGCAGCTCCAATCATTTTCTTTAAAATGGTTGTTGAAGTAGCTAAAACATATTTTCAAAGAATGTGTAATAAAGCACACTCAATTGCAAATACATTTCTCAAAGTCACAATTGCAAAGGCATTTGATAAATTTGAACATGGAACATTTCTGTCACACATATTATGTCTTCCTTAGTTGTTCACTAACATTGTGTTCAACATATACATTTCTCAACTTGTTATTGGTCACTAGTTTTACAAGCATGTTGTAGGGAGTACATTGTTTCCCAAAAAAACTGTATTAAGAAAGGTGCTCTTCCCAACATGGGGAATTTTATATGCAGTGCACCCTAAATATTTTTATTATCTCACCCATACAGTATTAGAGGGTAACCCACACATAATTTGAAAGTTTTGGATCAAATTGAGTGTATGATTCTTTTAACAGCTAGCCTCTACTAGCTCATCAACATTTTTTCTACCTTGTTGCAATGCTTGAATTGCTCTCAAGTAGCCCAAGTCAAGGACATTTGAGTCCGGACTATTTGGTGGCTGATTCGATCATGCGATTATGATGGATTTCTAATTAATTTTTTTTATCAGAATGAATTGGAACTTGAATTTTTATGGAGAAATTGAATACGGAGTATATTGTTTTTTATTTTGAATATTATACCTTTTATTTTTTATTATTTTTTATTCTATTAGCATCACAGAGTATACTTTTTTAAAGACATACAAAGCCTGATTTTAATTTTATCAAATTGAAAATATATGATTTTATTTTAGATATTTTATATCCCATATTACAAACACATTCAAATTGGAGGTGTATGAAGAGGATGTGGCAAATTCATTTTTTTCCTTTTCCTACCAAACAAGGGAATGTTAAACCTTTCCTTCCCCTCCCCAACCAAACAAGGGGAAAGGAAGTCCCTCCCATTCCTTTTCATCCCCTCCCATCCTTACCATCCCCTCCCCTCCCCTTCAACCAAAGAGACCATAAATCCTTAAAAAGAGAAGTGTTAAAGGTACACCACTTGGTGTTTACTATTTGTACATTAGGTGTCTTACAGACACACAGATAACAATTGTGTGTGACATAGATAATTGTTGTTTGTGGGTGTTTGTAACACACTTAAGTGTGCAAGTAATGTATAATGAGCTTTAGGTTGAACTATAGCCATTCCTTTGTGTGTACTCTTGATTGCTTTTGACATTTGACAAACTTGTATTTAAAAAAAATGAGTTGCTAACTAGAGCGTGGGAATTAGGAAGTGGGAGGAGGGGCGTTCAACTTTACAAAACGAGTAATAAGGGTATAATGGTCACTTTCACTACCTTACTCCACTCCTTTGGCCTACGCATAAAAATGAAACTGGACGGGCCCAACTAGACGAAGTACTTTTGCTCTAAGAAAGTGTTTCATTCAACTTATTTTTTGTACTTATTACTTATTCTTATTATGAACAAATCAGATCAGGAATAACTTCAATTATAACTACAATCAGATCAGGCCAAATCAGATATTCGAAAAATCAGATCAGATCAGGCAAACAGAACGCAGCCTAAAAACTACTCCGTATATGGTTAACATTTATTTAGAATAGAAAAATATCCAGAATCATATATATCTCTTTTCTATTATGAAAAAAAGTACTCCGTAACATGTACGAAGTAAAATTTACTGTTTTCATCTAACAATTTTCTCTCCTTATTGACTTTACAAGCACATTTAAGATAAACTAAAATTACTTTTAACTTTATCTTTTTCCCCTTGGGTATTTAGAGAAAATGAATCAAGTAAAAAGTCCAAATGAATAGTAAAAATATGATCGATAGTGATAAATAAGATACAGATGTAGAAGTATGAATAGTTGGCCTTGTTTGGGAAAAGCGTTTTCAATTAACGTTAGTATTTTAGATAAAATATTAACGGTGTAGATTAATTCGAAAAACGCTAACACTAAAACTATCGTCAGATAACCTTTTCAAAATGCTAACATTAATCTCTAACGTTGATGCCAAATGGTACCGTGGTCAATAGGGGTAGTAATAGCCTTTTTAAGATACAGCGTAATAGATTTGCTAAAATAGAAAGCGAGGAGAAATTTTTTGGACTGGTGATAAAAGAAAATGAGATGAAATATTTTGGAACAATTTAAAGTAAAATGAGGATTGGATGTGAGAGTAGAAAGATATGGTATTCGGAGATATGGACGAGAGAATGAACCTCCATGTAAAAGAAGTAATACATCTAATACTCCAGTATCAGCATTCAGCAGCTTTTTAACATGGAAATTTGTCTCAAGATTTTTCAAAAAAAAAAAAAACCCCATACAACAGAGCTGCATATTCTCATAACTTGAAGTATTATTCAACAATACATGGCCATACACACCTTCTCATCACGTGCTGTCATTTAACAACACCAGCAGAGCCTGTGAACATGGCCTAAGCGGCTCAATGGCAGGAAACCATAAAGAAATTCAACAATTGAACAGTAGTGATCACAAAGACCATTCCGGGTAGTGTGCTTCTGGGAATTATAACTGAAGAGAACATGTGAATGCCTTCTCCCAGCTGTGTTACATAATCAAAACAACATACAATTGAGGGATCCATTTTCACATTATTTAGAAACATCATGTGACCAGCATTGATCAGCAAGCATCGAGATCACGACATGGAGCAGGCTTTGGCTCCCCTAGCAGCGTAGTGTTTCCTCCTTGTGGCCCAGAATTCTGACGTTCTGGGTTTTGTGTGCCACGCTGATGCATTTTTACAAGCCCAGAAATTATGAAGAAGATAATGGTTTCATTATGTATGAATGAATAGTAACAACAGCCCCAGGAAGAAGGTAGTGGTTAGGTTCTTACCTGTGGCTTTTCACCTCTTCTAAATGCTTCCACGATTTCTATAGCTCGTTTCGGAGTGAGATCTTCCTGCAGTTGCCAAAGAGAAAATCACAAAGAGTTCTTAGCATGCTTGCTGCGAGCAACTCGGTATTCACATCGAACTTAGATCCCTACTCTGAAACTGGCACGAAAGATTGAGAATATGACAGAGTTTCAACTTGTAAGAGATCAAAAAGAATGTTTATTTGCTTCATATTTGAGTTTCAGAATTAATTAACTGTTTCACTAAACATGTCATATAATAACATCGACCGAAGGAAATATGAAGTACTATAAAATCTGGATAATTAGTGGGATACGCCAACATATGTACACCAGTTGTATACCAAAGGCAAAAACAGACATTTATGTCAGTGTCCGCACAGACATAAATGTCTTTGGTGTACATATGTTGGGGTACCCCTAGCATTCCCCATAAAATTAAGATTATGAGTACAAACAGTGAGAAGCGCTCACAATTTGTTGCAATACAATTTAATACTCACATAATAATTGTAAGTATATCCTTCAGCTCCATTTGAATAGTCGGCAACTGTAATCATTGGAGCATTTACACAGCACCCCTATCCAAGAAATCAATCATATTTATTAATGTGCTCAATTCTAGACTAAATTCAAACATTCAAGCTGATGAATCAAAGTTTGGAAAATACTATACATGTTTTCCTCTTGAGTAAGATATATTTCTTGGGGGGTTAGGGGTGGAGGGAATGCTTTTTGGGAATTAAGGGTTGGCCTTGGGCATATCTAGTAGCTGGTGAATCAATCACTATTGGAAGGGTTTTATAAGCTATAACCCAGAAGTAGCAACAGTAATGATATCTATCCCCATGAAGATAGTGAATTCGAATTCACTTAAACTCTGACAGTACATCACACATTTCACCTCCCACCTGGCAATGAAATAGGCATGCTATGTGGCCTATTCTAATTATATCTCTAGGATACCACAGCCTAAATAGTTCCTGTCATCTATTAACATCTGTCTGTTACATTGTAATGGACTAATGGTTAGCAAACAGAGCAAAGCTTGATACCACTAAAGGAAATTGGTTATGAACTTCAAACAAGTTATAAAACAGGAATCACCATGCATTCCATCTCTCCAACGGAAAACAACCCATCTTTTGTCACTTCTGCAAAACACATGGAATTTCATTGGGAGTTCAAAATGCCTTAACAAAAAACTTATGTTATTGCGGGAAAGCAAAAGGTTTGAGTTGTTATGAAATGTCATAACAAACTTACCATTGCGCTTTACTCCAAGGTGTTTCAGTAATGCCCCTTCAATCTCCCTTGAACCACGTATCATACAAGGTGTTGTACCACAAACCAAAAGGTGGTACTTGCCTACCTGAAAAAGATTTATAATTTGGCTTGTCAAGGCAGAGCAGCAAGAAGAAAAATGGATTATATGTGTCATATACTAGGGTCATCTACAAAATCACCTTTGATCGGTTGAACATGGAGTAGAAGGTTGCAACCTCATATACACGAATGGGAGGAACTTCAATAACCTTAGCAACCTAGGACATCCAAAGGAATATAACTCAGAGTATCCTTTGACAATTAGACACTAGTCAACACAATGACTTCTCTTCCCCAATTACACTATAAAATTTGTAAGCATGGGCA